TTTGAAATCTAGCACAAGACTGAAGTAGTGAGGTAAAAGACTGACAGATGTGGTTCTAAAGAAACAATATTGTCTGAGAATGCCAGTTACTGATAAGTAACCTTTCATTCTCCTTCAGAAATTGCCTCTGCAGATTGGCACTGTTGGGAGATTAAGAAGTAATAACAGCAGGAGAAGAACTGAGTAATTCACTGAACAGAGACTGAAGGAGCATCTGATTTAGGCCCAGCATAGAAAGAACAAAGCTCAAGAAAAGTATAGACTGAGCTCTGTATGGCATCCTTCCAAATGCACAAATGCCAAGTATACAATATGGATTTTTTTAGCCAAGCTGACTCTGCTCTATTGGAGTAGACTGTAAGGCTATTTAGTGAGGCACTAGCCAATTAAAGCAAATGTGAATGCAGCGTGGTCCAGTTTGAAACTTTATGCAAAATGTGATCTATTTTGAAAATTTCCAAACAGAGACTATGCCCTTGAAATTCTAGACAGCTTTGAAAAGTGTTTCCAGTAGTAGCCTAAAGCCCTTAAAACTTATCTTGTGGAATCTCCCAGCAGAAGCTGGGTGATTCTGAGAAGAGGAAGGGAGGCAGGTTGGTGCATAAATGGGATATTCCCTCAAAATAATATCATCTTCTACCTGGTGATCTCTGACAAAGGTTGGTCAGCTATAAATGCATAAATTTATCTTTTCCTTCTAGTTTAAATAGTTCCAATCAAGAAATTAAATTTTAACTAAAAAGGAACACTTCCTAATAGGCTTAAAGTATGGACATACAAGTCTGATTAAAAAAAATCTAAGCTGCCATGTAGGTAGGCAATAATCTACCAGAAGATAAAGGCTGGATCATCCATGTAAAAATATTTTAAAGTCTATTTTAGTAGACTGTAAAAACCTGAAGATTCTCATATAGCAGGGATACTGTAGCTTTAACTGGCAGATAAACTAATGAGCTTGGGAACTAAGGATGAAATAGACCTCCTGGGCCACTGAATGTCCCCTGCATTCACAGGCAACTCTTCACCCAAAAGAACACCTCCTATGTTCCCTTTCTTTCAATGCAGCCCCGCGGCACCTAGGAAAAAACCCTACAGTGTGCCACAGGTTGATGATGAAGGAGGAAGGAAGAGAACTGCCTTTGCCTTACCACAGCAGTGACAGGAAATTAGTTTAAAGTATGCTCAAGAAGATAAATAAATTAGACTTCTTAAGGGAGACGTAGCAATGCTTAACAAGTGATTGAAAAAGACTGAGGACCTTTCTGTTATTAGTCACAAAGAAAAGCATTTACATTCTAGAGTACAGTGCTTTACTTTAGATAGATCAAGGGACTTCAAAATCTAACCTTTAGATAGATCAAGGGACTTCAAAATCTAACCTTTCAGCAGTAGATCAAGGGACTTCAAAATCTAACCTTTAGATAGATCAAGGGACTTCAAAATCTAACCTTTAGATAGATCAAGGGACTTCAAAATCTAACCTGTCAGCAGGAAAGATTGATTTCTGGAAAAGGTCTAAAATATTCCACAGAGCTAAATAAAGTGAACCTGAATCAATTATTAGCATTTGATTTTGCTTGTGACTCAAAAATATCTGGGAGACAAGAGCCGAAACACTGGAAATCCCATTTTCCAGGAAAGGAGGAGCGAGTATTTATTCTAACAAGTCCAGGCTAGGGCAATTAGAAGAATGCAAGCGCCATATGTCTTACTTTCCAGAAAAATTGATGAAGGAGGACTAGGGGAGAGATATGCATTCTTGATCCTTATAGAGGAGATATCAATCCAGTCGCGTTTAAATTCCAGAATCAATTGCCCCTCAGAAGGGATGATGATGATGAAAGTTTGAAGCCAGGAAGAAACAGAAATGTGTAGTCCTTTTTTAGTGATTTTTAAAATCCAACTTTTTGAAAAAGGTTTTTCCAAGGTGCTAGAAAAAGAAAGGGATTAAAAAAACCTAAGGAAAGAGACACCAAATCTGTATAAGACATGAGTTCATAGCTATTAAGCTGCATATCAGATGTGCTGCTTTGAGATAATGACATGGATGTAGGAACTACAACAGTTAAAGGGCAAGGCCTCTGCCACTGATGAAAAGTCAAACTGTTTCCTTCTCCACCTTTCTTAGAAAATTGCTGTCCACTGTCTTGGGGTGGGATAAGCTGAATGGTGACCATTCTGAAACTGCTGGAACTAGCACTGGAAAATAAGAGCAGTTCTTCTGTAGGAAGGTAGCAAAATGTAGAGTCTCTTTAGATGGCATTGTTTGGGTGGTCAACATCTCTGTGCTATCAAATAGAAGACTAGTTATCCACTTTAAAGTGGATGAAACCATTGCTCTTCACTTGTATCATACATTGTTACTATTAACATAATTATAGATCTGAGGCAGAGTCTGAAAACTCAAGGCCTTGAACCTCAGGTGCATAAATGGACATTCACACAGAGAAAATAAAGGAATAAGGAATGTTTACCTTTCAAGAATTCCTGGGCAACTTCCCTCTGTCTTCCTAGAAGTGAAGCACTAAGTGAAATCTAGAAGACTTTGCATGGAGCTAAAGAGGATTTCAGTTTCAAAGACTCTATTGATACTAACTGTAAAAACCTCAGGTCAAAGAAAAAGAGTGCTCATACCTGCAGTCATTATTATATGTGCTATTGGATATTTGTGCTGGGCCCAAGTAGGACACCGTGTCTTGTATTTGACACACTAAACTTTCAGCACCAAGGACAGCCAAAACAAAGTTATAAAATCAACTATGAGTTTCATATCTGAATCTTTTTTTCCCCCAGTGTCTAAATCTAAACTACTAAAAACTGAAGCTATAGAGCCACACTTAAATGTTTGGGACTTTATAGCTTCTTTCATTAAGAATATTTCCATCATAAATGTCTATTTGATATCATCTGAACAAGAGGTAGAACTTTATGAGAAGGAATTCAAACAAACAGAATGGTATAAGCTGGACATTTTTTTCTGATGGACACAACATGCTTCAAAATCCCAATTTTCTTATATAGATAAGATGAGAAATTAAAACTGCAAAACATCAGTAAATACTCAGGGAAGCTAGAGTTTTGTTCCTTGAACAGTATTTTTATATAACTCTTGATAATAACAACTAAAAACTAATTTACAAGAATTAACAAGGAAAAATGGGAGGGGGAAAAACAAATGAGCAGATTAATCAATTGAGTACTCCTGTACAACCTAGTCCAGAGTGTACATTGATAGCTATTGCTTTTTATATTTCTGGAGCTCATGGTAAAAAGGTATATGCTTGCAAATAGGGAGAAGTGGGAAGAATTCCTAAAGGAAAACATACTGTGAAGTTTTAAAAATTCTAGGACCATATTCAGATCCGACTTACACCAGTGTAACACAAGTATAATGCTGCTGACTTTACTGCTGTTACTCCTCTTTATATGAATCTAAGTGAGTCAAGAATCAAGCCATTAGCCTTTAATGAAATTTTAATGATCCACCTGGGGGAGCTAAAGGGCAATTTGTTTCCAAATTGATTATGGCAAAATGTTCTGGATGCATAATTAATTTGGAGTATGTAATGCAGGTAGGGAACTGTAAGCCCATGACCAATTCCCTTTTCTCACTGGTACTTTGTGTAAATTTCTAAAAAAAAGCTTTTTTCAATTGCTTTTAAGAATTCCAGACATTTCTTTAATATACTTTAAACAAATCAAATTTGAGATGTCCATATCCTGTCTTGGTACATGCATGCAATATCCATTGAATTCAATAGTCTTTGGATATGCGTATAACTTAAGGCAGAATTTGGTCCTAGCTGTTCTCTATTGTCATGTTGATAAGTGGTTGTAGCTCAAGTTAAATGTAATGGGATTTTGTTTGAAGAATAAATTACAACCATCAGTAATATTTTCTATTAGTTTATCTTTTTATAAGCCTTAGTCTTAAACTGTATCTCAGCTATGCTCTGAACATCTCATGGGGTGGTGGGAGTTGGATTTATATAATTTTTGTGTCTTTCCTTTCCCAAATCTAGGGCTAACTGGAACCTGGGCAGCTCCCTATTATAAGTCAGAGCAGCTGCTCTAGCTTATGCTTAGCTGCCTATAGCCCCCAAGAGGGCTTTTCTGGCAACCCAAGGTTGATGAGCTGAACAATCAATGTGGTAATGCCTTCCACACTAAGTTCTAAGGTGCTAGATATAAAACCTTGTTAGTTTGTGGGAAGAAAAAGTATGTGGCATAGGCACTCTTTGCCAGCTAGGGGATACTCTACAGACCAGCTTACCTGACAATATGTTTGTCACAGCAGATTCAAAGTCTTACCATAAATGTTTTAAAATGGAGAACAATTCAGTTATAGATACCTTAATCTATTTTTAAGTTCCATATGATAAAACCATGCTATTACATTATTGATTATAATGGTGGAAATTTGATTTTAGTCATTATACAATAAATGTTGACAATTATTTCCATGTATTTTGTGCGTGTCAGATCTATCTTACCTGAGAGATACGAAAGCAAGATTGAAAGCATGAGTAAGAGTGAAAATATTTTGTTTCGTTACCATCATTTCTCGAGTACTTTAAAGACGTCTTTGCTCTATACCTAGTTTGGCCTAGAAAAAATAAATTGTAAGCAATCTTATAAAAATAGTGTTGCTATACTCTTTTTAACCAAACTGGAAATAACATGTTTTGTAGTTGTCACCTTTGATATCATATAATTTTTAGCAAAGAAAAATGTTTCTCTAAGAATCAAAAATCCAGAAGCCAAAATTTAAACTGTGCTAATTAAGTTTCATGATTAAGACAATTCAAGCATATAAAAGTAAAAGGTATATTCAACTCAGGTACAGAAGCTATAATCATTAAACAACAGGAACAGTACTTAAAATGTAATTCATAATGCAATTTATTTTCATATTACACCTTTAATTGGTAATAGAATAGATTGAAGTGTGTTTAAACTAAGTTTTTTTTTTCTTTCATGCTGTAAATAAATCAACTTACATTCATTAGTTCAATCTCCCAGATTTTTTTCACTAGGTCCATCGCTGTATAGCCATTAATCAGAAAGGATTTGGTATAGTCACCCAGTTCAATGGAGTCCAGCCACTCAGCCACAGAGGGGGGGTTGTAGCCATCATGACCAGTTTGTTTCATCTGTAATATAATCACGACTAAGAATGACTAGAAATATTAATTAGTTAAGTACTTTTTAATACATCAATAATGTGCTCTGTTCTTTGTGACTGAGTTATTTTATTTTTTCCAATATTTCTCCAATGGTTACTACAGTGTGAAAAAATGGAGAACTACTGGAATTTTGATTTACTTTTTAAAATTCTTCTGAGCTACCACTTAGTAAAAGAGCTGTGATTTTTCTTTCAGAAACATCTCTGAATGACAGTTGAAGATTTTAAAGTTAGCTATTAAAGATAAAATGCATAAAATCCCTGCTTGTTCAGCTGTTTGTGATACACTGTTTACATGAATTTTAAAGAAATATATAAGAGTGGATCAAATGGCACATGGAAGGAGAAGAAAGACAGACTTATGAAACAGCCTCAATGTGCAATAATATTATATGCATAATATCCTTATACAGAAGTTTAACTGCTGCTAACTCAGTAATATATTGCAGTGGTAAACTTTTAAGAAGATTTAGGAGGTTTAGAATGCCTTGTATTTGGCACACAATCTATACTGTTTGTAACAGTAATATAGTGCATGCTGGAAGCCATTCTCCCATTTTTGTCTGCTTATATACATTTCTACTTTAAAGGAACAAAGCGAGTCTGACAGGAACATAATACTATTGAGCTTAAGTTTGAAGCGAATGATAAAGTGATTTAAAAAGTAGAGATTTCTGAACTTAAAATCTTGCCTGAACCAATTTATTTCTTTACAGTTTATTTGAAATGTAATTTGAATTCAAGTCACTAAAAAAAAAAAAAAGTTTTCTTTTTGAAAGCTGAAGTAATGCTTGCCAAAAATAAAAAGGACTGTCACTTCAGATAGTTGACAGGCAGCTAGCACATCATGATCTTGATCTTATTTTGTTGAGGTTCCCAGAAGAATCAGACAAAACTAAGCATACTGTGCTACAGGGCTGGTCACAGTCGTCTTTGGCTCTTTGTTGCAGGTGCTAGATATAAAATTTTAACAAAAATATTTCTAGGATGCTTGTGAGACTGACATCCTACATCATAAAACAGAAACTAGAGGTTCCAGAGAATTAGTAATGGGATATTTAGTTTTTCTTCTCTACTTTTGCAACAGAGGGGCTGTAACTCTCTTGTCAACAAATGAGATTTAATATACAGCAAAACCTGTGATACAAAACTGAGCTATGGATGGCTTCAGTAGACAGGATAGAGACCTATAGTTTTATTTAACTGAGGACAATGAAATACTGGCTTTGGTTTCATTCTCCTCTCTGTTTAGCTTTGTTGGAAAACTTGGCTCCAGGGTTTTTTTCTGCATGATATGCTGTGTCAGATCCAGAAACCTAGTTACTCCGATTCTGTGGCAGCTCACCTGAAAAGTTGCTGCAGCTTGCAAGAGTTGCAAGCCTCCCAACTGGGATGCCCAGGTTTCTAGCTCCTCATCAATCTACCATACAGGCTGCAGAAATCCAGGACCTGTGAGCTGGCAGGAAACAAGGCAAGGGTCCATGAAAAACTTGCCTAGTTTCCACTATAATTTAATTGGAATCAACCTTGTCTCATGGAATGTTTAGATTTCAGCAAACTGGGATAAAATGCTTAGTTGAATTTTTTTCTGATGAATTCTAGCTTTACCTAAACCTGGACAAAGAAATATGGAATGTTCTTCACCAAAAGGCAAGATGAGATCAGCTAAGATTAATGATAAATAAATGAAAGAGGGAACTTAAATGGTTCATCCACAATCTCTCTCATATAAAGGGCAGATGCAAAGATTTACAAACCCCTTTGTGTCTGTGCTAATGAAAAAGCTGGTCTTTCAAAAGACCTAGGACCTGAAAACCAGGGGCCCTGAAACACAGAAGGAAAGAACTTTCAAACTTGGAGGAGAAAAGCTGTGTATCATACTCTTTGGGAGCATATCACTTTTAAAAACGATACTTTCACTATAATTAAACAAAGGGAAGCATACTTCCCTGAACCTTTCAAAGTAAAATGTAAATGTAAACTCCTTATTTTGTTTATCATTTTCTTTTTCTTTTTAATAAATCCTGATTTTAACATAATCTGACTTACTGCATGTCACCCAGGAAATTTCACACAGACTTCTCCAAAACAGTGGTAACCTATCATTCTCAAAGGAAATTAAATGAAAGTTATAGAATTGCAAAATTTTCCACTCCCATGAAATATGGACATAAATATCTTCCTCCATTATGGTGTTGCATGGGCTAAAAATACAGGTGAAAAAAGGGGGGAAAGTTTAATAACTTCAGGAAGGCCTTTGGCATGGTCTCCCACCCCATTCTCATTAAAAAGCTAGGTGACTGTGGCATCGATGCCTACACAGTCAGATGGATTGCAAATTGGCTGAGGGGTCGTACTCAGAGAGTGGTGGTGGACAGGTCATATTTGACCTGGAGGGAAGTGGGCAGTGGAGTCCCCCAGGGCTCGGTTCTTGGGCCCGCATTGTTCGATTTCTTTATTAGCAACTTGGATGATGGGGTGAAAAGCACCCTGTTTAAATTTGCAGACAACACCAAGATTTGGGGTGAGGTGGGCATGCTAGAAGGGAAGGACAGACTATAGCAGGACCTGGACAGGTTACAGGGGTGGGCAAGTAAAAATAGAATGGGATTCAATACTGACAAGTTCAGGGTGCTGCACTTGGGCACTAGGAACCAGCAGCATACCTATACATTGGGGAACTCCCTTCTCAAAAGAACAGTGGCAGAAAGGGATCGTGGGCTGACAATGGGAGGACACGGTCAGTAGGGCTAACTGTACTTTGTCGTGCATCCACAGATGCATCACAAGCAGGGCAAAGGAGGTGATCCTTCCCCTCTATGCGAGACTGGTCAGGCCACAGCTGGAGTACTGCATCCAGTTCTGGGCGCTGCACTTCAGGAGGGATGTGGACAGCACTGAGAGGGTCCAAAGGAGGGCCACTCACATGATCCAGGGACAGCAGGGCAGACCCTACGAGGAGGGCTATGGGACCTTAACCTGTTCAGCTTTCGCAAGAGAAGGCTGGGAGGGGACCTGGTGGCCATCTATAAACTTACTAGGGGGGACGAGTGAGGATTGGGAGAGACCTTGTTCCCCCAGGCACCTCCCGGAGTAACAAGGAATAATGGCCATAAGTTGTTAGAGAGTAGGTTTAGACTAGATATTAGAAGGCACTATTTCACAGTTAGGGCGGCTAGGATCTGGAACCAACTTCCAAGGGAAGTGGTACTGGCTCCTACCTTGGGGCTCTTTAAGAGGAGGCTTGATGATTACCTAGCTGGGGTCATTTGATCCCAGTTTTCTCTCCTGCCCAGGGCAGGGGGTTGGACTAGAAGATCTACAAGGTCCCTTCCAACCCTACATCTATGAATCTATGGTTTAGATTCGGAGATTTGGCCACTGAATTGGGCTGAATATCTGCTGAATCAAGATAGGGACTGAAGCGTCACATAGCCCTATTGAAAACCTTTTGTTGAAATAATTTTTGATAGGCAATTGGACTTTTAAAAAATCTTTTTCCCCCCATGGAGTATTTTGATTTTCTGTCAAAAAACTAAACAGCTGAAAAACAAAGTATTTCTATATAGAAGTATTGGCCCTATGTATTCCCCATAATACTACCATAAACTGTCAAAGACTTGCTTTTTGTAACCTTCTGGGTAGGGCTTTTGTTGCTGTTTATTTCTCTTGGCAGGATAAAATGTCTCATGCCTAATATGTCTTTTGCTTATGTCTGCCCATTTCTGCTTTTTTAGATCAGCTGCCACAGTGTCAAACATCTGGCCAGCAGGTGTAGTTATGCAAAATGCATGGCATATTCTGATTCTGCAGATGGCATCTATGGTTTTGTTTAGAATAAACCCTTTCAAGCCATTGCTGTTACAAACATAACATTCAAGATATTAACTGACTAAACTAATAACAATGTTAGTTTTCTGCAGATGCCCCTATTAACTCACTGGAATATTAACATCAAAGCATAATGATGCTTTCTTCAAGGACAGCATTAATTATTTCATTGCTGATGCTGAATATTGAAGCGGGTAGGAATAAAGCCCAGGGGGTTAGGGATGGGATTTGAGGCATTATTGCATGCGAGGATGAGTAAGACAGGGTGAATATAAACTGAAATAGGGAACAGAATTAAAAAGCAGAGGAGGCTCTGCTTTTTAAAGAAAAGAGCAGAAACAGTGCACACGAATAAACTCTGGAATTTATTGCTCCCAGGCGTGCCATTTGAATGTGTACCCAGGAGCAAATAACTCCATAGCAACTGACTCTGGAGTTTATTCATGTGCAGCACATGGAGCCTGGTCAGAGCAGCCCCAGTTGGTAGGGGTCCTCAGGGGTCATCCTGCCAGCCTGGGACTGCTCTGACCAGGCTCCACATTCAGTGAACGAGCTGGCTTGAGCATAAGGGTGCTTCAGTGTGGGGCTAGCCACCAGGCAGCTGGTCAGCATCAACACATGCACTGCTGTACATGAAAAAACTTCACAGCAGGGCAGTACGTGTATTTACTTCTGCGGAGTTTATTTACTTTCATGCACCCTAATAGGGGTATATGTGTAAATGCTGAGATCTTAGTAAACTGCACAGTAAATATCTCATGTAGATGTACCCATAAACACTCAATATGGCAATGAGATGTTAAACAAATAATATTAAATCAAGATATTACATAAAAGCCTTGTTTAATCTGTGATCTTTGTGCAGTCCTCCCCATGACATCTGTGGGAGGTCTGCTGTGAATCAAGACTTGTATGTTGTGCTAAATGCATTGCAGACCATTCACAGTTTGGAATAAGTTTTGTTTGCTATAAACACATTACCATAAATCAAGTTTCTTGATTTAGACAAAATCCTTAAATCCTTACTTCCGGAGCATCTGATCGTTGTTCTGGCCTCTATTTTGTGGCATAAAGAATATTAAAATAAATTACTTCTGAATAATTTTACTTCTCTGAACAAAGTATACCAGACTCACA